CTTTACCTAACATAAACCAGTTAAGTGATTTAGATCAACACTTTTGTGATGCCTCTATCACATTGAAAGAGATAGGGGAAGCTATAAATTATTTAAAAGTCAACAAATTTCCCGGAGCAGATGGACTCAGCTCTGAATTTTATAAGCTGTTTAGTCATAATTCTTATTTAAGGTTTAAAGGTTGAGGAGAGTCCCCCTGATATAAAGTGCTTTGGGTGTAAAGCGCTATATAAATGCCTCATTCATTATGCGGAAAGCATAGAGAAAACATTACTTCCAGCCATACTTTATGCCAAGGGTTAATAACTCTTATCCCAAAATTAAATAAAGATCCCTTCTTCATAGAAAATTGGCGTCCAGTCATACTGTTGAAAAATTATTATAACATAATAGCTTTATAGCAAAAAGATTAAAATATGTTTCGAATTCTATAGTTGATGAAACAGTCAGGGTTAATGCAGAAAAGACACATTTCCAATAATATTGTAATGTAAGGCAGACAGGGAGAGGAAGATAGAAGGGTAACAGTGAGTTTATTGAATAACAAGTGGAGAGAATGATAGATATTACGGTGGGTGATGAGGCAGATGAACACAGGAGGGAATGGAGACACTGTGGAAGGACGAGAAATTGGAGACAGGGAGATAGTCCACAATGTGAAAACGAGACCGGACGATGAGCTGGGGTGTGGTGTCTGTAGTTGTCAAGGCAGTGATGAGGGTGATGATGAGGTGCAGGTGTGTGTTAGTTCTATTATAATGAATAATACAAAATTTAAACAAATCACCTGTTTACTTTGAGATTAGGCTCTGGAAAAGATTAGTGAATCAAGTCACTAAATGATGATTTTCTTCATCAAAACACAACCATCGACACTTGATCATATTTTCTTTTGTGCCACAACAAAAGTGTTTTATAAACACACGGTTACAGCAGCCAGAGAAAAACTGGTGTTATAAAGTCAAGGTCAAGAGCCCAACTAAAGCAAACACTGATCACCATCATGGTGTCTTCAAGTGAAACTCACAATATCTAAACCTCTGTTAATTCTCAATAAGAACCTCTATAGACGTATGACAGAAATAAAGTCAAAAACCACCGATCCAACTACATAAAGCTATTATCAACTGATAACAATCGGCGCCCAATCAATTCGGAGCACCCTTAGACAACATTTTAACATTATTTTTTAACAAATCTTCAATGAGGAAATATATGACTGGAAAAATAATCTTTTATTTAACTGAAAGTCACAAAGTGCGAAACAATGCTGATGAATTTTGATTTTTTTTTTTAATCTAATCTGGGCTGTCAAATTTTTTGGTGTGGTGATAAAAATACCTAAGTGAGCAATGGCCTTTAAAATGACTTATGCATATTATACTGTAATAACAATGAGATAATAATAATTGGTTCAAATTAAGTATCAAAAGCAAGTAATTTGTTTTTATTGAACTTAAAATACATAATGTAATTATATTACATAATTTAAACATCAACAATAGATATGCTATAGCCACTGTAATTTCTTGAACAAGAACATGTGGGCACCAAAACATGCAAACTCAGAGCAATGGTTTAAACATTTATTTTGAAATCGTGATTAACAACAATTCACATATTTAGAAACATTCTCCTGTGTCGGTGTAGGTTTATAAATTATTTACCTTACAAATCTGGTTAAATGGCACAAGTTGCGTTCCCAGATGAACGTTATAAGCAACCCAAACTCATAGCATATGCAGAGGTGGAGTTTGTTAATCGAGCTGCTGAAACACTCCATGCATGTAAATGACAAAAGTGCAACACTTCGCTATGAAACAAAGCGGGTAAGACTTTATATGCGTTCCCAAATGCACATTATTGGAATCACAAACAAACAGCACATGCAGAGACTGAGTTTGTGTGGAGCCGCATTAACTGTGAACGGAGGAGCTCTGATATGCTGAAGAAGAAATACGTTATCTGCATGCATGTAAATAATTAAAGTGTCGTGCTTTACTCTGAAACCCGCAGCGCATGTATTTATTTCAACCCGCCAAAGTGGCTAGTGGGAGTAGGGGAGTCGTTTTTCCATTCCACAGCGCTACTTTTCCATTATTTTTCTATTTAAACGGACCAGACAGATGTCTTTAACCGTTGTCTTGCGTCTTGTGCGGAACACGGCATTCCAAAATGCGGCCCTCAAGTTAAAATAAATTCAACTTTTTAAAAGTGCGTCGTAAGACCTTGCCTTTTTTTTTTTCGTTCTACTGACCTGCGTCTGTGAACTGGTGTTGTGCCGAATTCTGACCCCCGGCAGATTATTACCCCTCTGAGTCCCCAGGTGGGTTTAGGATTTGCGGCCTCAACGAGGGGGGTAATAATTTGGCAGGGAGTTCAAATTGGCACAACACCAGACCTTACATGCCACTGCTGAAATCCACCTGCGGGTGTTAATGTAAAGCCTTGATCCCAATCTATATATAGCAAGAACTGGTTTGCAAATTCCAAATCGGATAAATATAATGAATTCTTCTTACAGTATAAGGATTTATCTCACATGACAACCACAATGCTTAAAAAAACAAGCTGTGAAGTCGAAAACCAGACTGGGAACCAAACTAAACAGGATCTCTGAAAACATGCTGCATTCATTGTTTATGAGACTTTGCTGCTCTCTGCTGGACTATCTGTAATTCCATTTTAGTTTTGCATTAACTTGAATTGAGCTGAATCAAAAGGATGGTTGATTCATTAATAATAATAAAAATAACAACAACAATAATATTAAAGTTCTTGTTTCTTTAAAGTATTTAACCTGTTAAGTGTCACCCCCCTTTTTTTTGAATATACATGAAAATGCACATTTCAAACTTAAATGGTTGTAATTCAAGAATGCTTTGGAATATAGTCAAGTAAAGTCATCTTCATTTATATAGCGCTTTTAACAATGGAGATTGTTTCAAAGCAGCTTTACAGAGATAAACATACAATTTACGGTAACAGAGATTGTTTTGGCTTTATAGCGATTTTGAATAATATTATTTCTGGCTAAAGTTGGTTTTGATTGATTCACTTCCAGCAAAATTATCATTTGTTATTACATTAGGGGCCACTAAGACGACGGTGTTCTCTCTAAACAGACTTTAAACGCGAACCTGTGACCTGATGGCGTTCACATGAGCATTAAAAATTGATTCTATAGTTATATTCGTTTGAATATGTGTGCGCAGGTTTGTAATTTCCCTACAAACCATGCCTAAACAAACTACTTGTCTTGCCTATAAACAACGCTTTATCTGTAGAGTATATATAGACATAATATTGGTCTTGTTTTAAAGAAGACATTTGGCAGATTTTTGTAGAAGTGAAATAAATTAAGAAAGTGAAACATAAAAAAAGTTATAGAAGTTTGAGTTTATGAAACCAAACTTTTTCACTAGATGACAACCAGACTCCATTACTGCCCATATAAGGGCGCCTCCATTTCCATGTGTTTTGAGTGATATGAACCATTATTTCCACAATTTTCATACAACTTATGAAGTAGACATCCTATTCAGAAGTAATATGAGAAGTTTGGCAGATTTTGATATGAATTCAACCTCTAAGAAACACATAACAAGAACAAGTATGTGCGTTATAGCTTGCTGCCACATCACAAATGGTGAATCTATCATTTTTTTCTTTATATTTAAAAAAAATTCAGACCTTTTTTTCTAAAATAATTGAATGGATGCTATCTTCTGAACTCTTGGCATGAAAACAAACTGAGGATTCTACCCTTCTTTCATGATTTTTCATGTTCATCACTATTTCAAAATAAAGGTCTGAACACACCTTAGGAGTATGAAAATAGTCTTGTTGCAAATTGATAACTTACGGCTCCTCTGTAATTTATTTTGAAAATCAATCACCAAATATGGAAACTAGATATTGTAAGCTTTCAAATTATATAAAGTTTGTCAAGATTAGTTTAGGTTTAGTATAGGATATTACTGTTTTAAAAATGTAATGAATTTGGGCCCAGCGGTGGACAGGTGACAATAATAATTTCAAATAATTTAAAAATGTCCAAATTTAAAAATGCCACTAATACATAGAAAATTGCTAATTTATACATCCGTTTAATTGAACAGATTATGTTGCTTACGGTAATTATGAGCAAATTAGAATTTCATATAGGCCTAACATTACATTATATTAGATTTGATGTCAGTGACAGTGGCAATGAATGTTAATGTAATGCTGTGTCATGCATTGTGCATTGTGTCACTGACATCTGACAGTTTGGATTTATGTCTTACATTTGTCAGATATTGTGAGCCATATTTTGTGCAATTATCAATACAGTGGCCTTTAAAGGGATAGTTACATAAAAATGAAATTTCGGTCATCATTTACTCACACCCATGTCGTTCCAAATCTTCAGGACTTTAATTTTTACTCAAACCTGTGTGATTTCTGTCCCTCCATTGAATCGAGCAGTTTAGTCCAAGTTTTCTGTGGAGACACGATCACTTTATCTGCTGAACAGCTTTAATTTAGGCTTTTATCCACATATAAACATTCATCAATGCACACATCAGTTATGATAAGCAGAGCTCAAGCATGTTCGCTTGACATGCGAGAACCTATGAGGTTGTAACTTGTAATTTACTTGTAACTTTAAACGCATCACGTTTGAGCTTTCGCAAGAATCAAGCAGGATCGGTTGAGCTTCTGTTTATGTTCACTGATCAATGTTTATATGTGAATAAAAGCAGAGATGTAGGGGTCAGAAAGTAAAAGTCCTGCCATATGTTTATTCCACCCATGAACTCATCTCCTGGCTGAAAAACTGTGCTAATTAGCAAATCCAGGTGATTGGAACAAAATACTGAGGAGGACTTTTACTTTCTGAACCTGGACTTTACACCTCTGAATAAAAGTCTAAATTCAATCTGTTCAACAACAACTATGGGTCTCTTTCTGATAAATAATGGAAGACAGGTTACAATAGTACACCAGAGCTTAAATTGATTTTAACATTCAGTCTTTTCAAAGCTATTTTAACTATTTGCAATTCTCTGTTTGATTTGGTTGAAACCATTTTGTGATTACAGTTGTAAATGTGCGGATATGATCAATCAGATGTGCTGTAAGACACCAGCTGCTGAAGTCGTGCCTTCTCAAGCTCCAACATGGAAATCTGTTGATTCCGTCGATTAACTTCCTGTATATAAAATCCACACAGTGCATGTTATGCTGAATCTGATACTGCACAACAGAAACAAACACAACAAAAATACCACTATTATTATTACTCATCATCACCTTGACCAGTGTGGCATTGCTCCACCGGAGGTCCCAATCTGAACCTCCAGTCTCTTCTGGGGCCAGATTGTTCCAGATACAGGAGTCGCTCATCAAACTACCCATACTCCCATTAACACGCTGCATACAGGACCGCAGAGCACAGGAGCAATTGCCCTGTAAGGTATAGGTTCATTATTTACACATTTCGGACAGTAATGTCAAAAAAGAACATCAAATATAGTACAAATAAAAAGGTTTAGTATATTTGCATTTATATAAAATATTTTCTTCTTACAATGTAAATGCATTTAAATTCTTCATATTTTCAAAGAGAGAAAGAAGTGAATCACAGTGTCTATATTATTTCAAGGCATGTGATTGGTTGTTCGCTACTGACTTCATCCTTTCATGTGCACACACTTCATGAACTCAGGGTCAAAGCCTGAGTCAACAGACAAATTTGATTATCAGCATTCATAGAACCAACAAAGCCTGATTAGATTGGTTTGGTTTTGTCAAACTCGAAACTAATCCTATAACCCTGAGTTTGTTTAACTACCATCATGATACAAGCCTCAGTTTTTTATTCTTTTCATTTGAACGTGACATACAATCACAAATACAGAAGTGGGAAGGATGATCTTCTGTGTTGGCTTGTGACGGCAACATTAAGTAAGTACCCTCTGGTTGATGCCATAATGAAACCATTATTTGGGGGTTATTCATTGATAGCCGTTCAACATCAGATAATAAAGTTTTTTAAGCAACATCAATTTCATAGTATAACAGTTACACCAGGGCTCCCAATGTTAAGGTTTAGATTAGAGTTAGTCCATTTTTTTTTAGCTTTGTGTGTAGGCCAGTGGATTTCAATCCTGGTCCAAGGGATCCACAGCATCACACATTTTGAAAAAAATAAATAAAACCTAAATAGAATGTTTTATGTCTGTAAATCAAAAACAAGCCTTAGAAATCTGACTTTTGGGAAAAATATGTTAGATGGGGTTTTAGTTCTATTTTTTTTCTAAGTTGGTTGTAGATGTTCAGTTGTTATGCTTCCAAATTAAATTGCATTTGTATATATATTCTAAAAAGCCATAGAGGGTTTTGAGATTTAGAAATGTGCAGGGTTTGAATTAAAGTCTGCAGGAAAAGGCCTCTAGGTGTATATTTCAGTAACACACTGCAACTACACGTCAACTTATTCTAAACCTAACCCTAAACCTATACTTCTGTTTTTATGTGACAGCTTTACTCAGGTGTGTTTTGTGATGGTATGTACCTCTCCTTCCATGTCTCCCGTAAAGCTAATGTGCCTTCGTAAATTCAGCTGCAGGCGATTCTGGTACCACAGTTGTGTCTGTTCCACAACCTGCAGTCCAGCCCACAGGACATCCTTCTGTCTTTCCAGATCTCTACGTCTCTTCAGCTGAAAGAAATACCTTCATTTAACGAAACAGCATACAAATTGAACCTCACACTACAGTATCAACTGCAAGTGTGGTGGCACATTAAATAGACAGAATAAAGCATTATGACTAGAGCATATATTGGAGAACATTTCACAAACAATTGTTTGTGATATTGATAATCTGATCAATCAACTGATATTTGGCCATTTTGAGATTATTGCATTGGTCGAGAACCTGCCTGTTCGGCAGTAAAAACAGTTGCTCTGCGTACAGAAATTTTTTATAATGTAAAACAAATTAGTATTATGTAAAACAAATATTTAGTTCAGCAAAAATTCTTCCTTTTCATACGTCCCTGGACGTAAAGTATTCTTTTTTTGTTGTTTATTTGCATTCTTGGTGATGTTATGTACACTCACCTAAAGGATTATTAGGAACACCTGTTCAATTTCTCATTAATGCAATTATCTAATCAACCAATCACATGGCAGTTGCTTCAATGCATTTAGGGGTGTGGTCCTGGACAAGACAATCTCCTGAACTCCAAACTGAATGTCAGAATGGGAAAGAAAGGTGATTTAAGCAATTTTGAGTGTGGCATGGTTGTTGGTGCCAGACGGGCCGGTCTGAGTATTTCACAATCTGCTCAGTTACTGGGATTTTCACGCACAACCATTTCTAGGGTTTACAAAGAATGGTGTGAAAAGGGAAAAACATCCAGTATGCGGCAGTCTTGTGGGCGAAAATGCCTTGTTGATGCTAGAGGTCAGAGGAGAATGGGCCGACTGATTCAAGCTGGTAGAAGAGCAACTTTGAGTGAAATAACCAGTCGTTACAACCGAGGTTTGCAGCAAAGCATTTGTGAAGCCACAACACACACAACCTTGAGGCGGATGGGCTACAACAGCAGAAGACCCCACCGGGTACCACTCATCTCCACTACAAATAGGAAAAAGAGGTTACAATTTGCAAGAGCTCACCAAAATTGGACAGTTGAAGACTGGAAAAATGTTGCCTGGTCTGATGAGTCTCGATTTCTGTTGAGACATTCAGATGGTAGAGTCAGAATTTGGCGTAAACAGAATGAGAACATGGACCCATCATGCCTTGTTACCACTGTGCAGGCTGGTGGTGGTGGTGTAATGGTGTGGGGGATGTTTTCTTGGCACACTTTAGGCCCCTTAGTGCCAATTGGGCATCGTTTAAATGCCACGGCCTACCTGAGCATTGTTTCTGACCGTGTCCATCACTTTATGGCCACCATGTACCCATCCTCTGATGGCTACTTCCATGGCTACTTGGTTTCTTGAACATGACAATGAGTACATCTTTGGGATGTGGTGGAACGGGAGCTTCGTGCCCTGGATGTGCATCCCACAAATCTCCATCAACTGCAAGATGCTATCCTATCAATATGGGCCAACATTTCTAAAGAATGCTTTCAGCACCTTGTTGAATCAATGCCACGTAGAATTAAGGCAGTTCTGAAGGCGAAAGGGGGTCAAACACAGTATTAGTATGCAGGGACGTGCACAGGAATTTTGAGGGGCAGTTGCTCTGACCTGAAAAAAGGGCACCCCGCGTCAGAGATGAGGTACATGAGAAAAAGAGTTCCTCATATTAGTTTATTTAATTATTTTTATTTATTAATTTTATTTGAAAAGAAATAATCTGGATTGAATGGAAAAACTCGCTTGTATTAAAAAAAAAAACGCTTAGATTTTGGGAAAAAATACAATCCTTTTTTAACCTTTTGGCTTCCCGTACATTCAGTTGTGCTTCTTGCTCGTATTCAGTTCGTGAGCTATGTAAACCATTTGCCATTGCCACACAGTCACACCTGACACTTCAGTGCTCCCAATACAATCCTCCCTCCTTGGGATCCTTTGGCTTTTGGGATTAACTTTGGTTCTCTCTACAGCCTGGGTATTTTCGGCATCAGTATGATTGTTTTATTATTATTATGCATGTTGAGGCAATTCTTGATGTATGGTTATTATTTACTGAGGGATGTGCATTCATATTGACCAGTATGTCCAGCTAATCAACATTTTAAATTCAATATAGCCTATAAATCAATAGTCAATCAATGTAAAATTGTCAATACATTGCTTTCTATCTTGCATAATTAGTGCAGTTGTTTAGAGTTTTTAACTACACTGAGACTAGATAATCACTGTCTTGTTTTATAATGTGTACTTTGATTGCGAGTGCCATCATTCACGTGCATGTATTGTGTATATGTCTGGTCTCCACATATTTCTGCTTGAAAAATGCGCATTTCATTTCGTGCACGCGCATATGAACCCACGATAACACACGCGACGCGGTTATGTTTTCTGAGCTGCAGTAAACAAACACCGTTGCACTTTGTCGTTTATCAAAAACAAACGTAATAAATAATTGTATTTTACTCTCACTTTTGTCAGGCACAAAGTGATGCAAGAGATGCACTGCCTGCCCAGCTAGGTTAGCAAGACCGAAAAACATCAAACTTTGCTGACATCAAACATAGAGAGGAGAGAACACAAGTTTACCTGATTGTTGTTCCCGCAATTCACTCTCATGGTTTTTTTCTTCTTCCTCTTTTCGTGACCAAAAGGATAGTTTCGCTTCATTTTGTCATGGATGTTGTACACATTAATTGACGCGCTATGACACGAGATGGAGGCGGGGCCTTAAGTAATTTGCGGGGTCTTACGCACCGGTCGCGTGCAGCGCGGCAGCCACGTAAACAGTTGAGCTGAGTGCCCGAATGGAAGTGAATGAGGCTTTGCGATTTTTTTGATTTTTTTTTATCTAGGCCTACGTGAAATTCTGCATCCATTGTACGATTTTTTTATTTTATTTATTTTTTTCCTCGGAAGGGCAACCTGAAGGGCATATGGGCAGTTGCCCGGGCAACCTGAGCAACCCCCCTGTGCACGTCCCTGTTAGTATGGTGTTCCTAATAATCCTTTAGGTGAGTGTATATTGTGTATTGTGTGCAGTTCTCTCTCTTTCTCTCTCCCTCTGTGCAGTGCTTAATTGGGATCAGCTGCAACAGTTATTGTTGTAGTGTTGTGGTAGCTGTTGGCTCGCAGCAGTTAGACATATTTTAAGAGTTATCGTGAGTTGCAGTGTTTTCACTGGCCTCTAAAGATCAAGAGACTGTACACTTTCTGTTACTTTTGTATGTTAAGCTTTCATTTCTGTGATTGAGATATTTTTCCTTGTTTCTTTGTAACGAATATTTATTTCAGAAGCCGGTGGGAGGAGGTTGCCATTTTCAATCTCTTTTTTCTCCTGTTTATTGTTTAGTCAAGGAGTAAGGGAAGGCTCTCAAATCTTATTTTGGATTTTTCTCTGATAGGTAAGTGATTAGATAAGTTAAATTTCATCCATTTATTTTGGCCTGAACCCCTCCTGAAGATCCACACTTCCTGTTATTTATGTTGTTTTGCGAATAAAGAGCCATTGTTCTGCGACTATACTCTCGTCCTGTAATGATTGTCTGTGAGCTTGGACAGGACAGGGACGTAGCTGTTAAAAAATACAGTTCCTTATTTCTTTTTATCCTTGTCACTGACATTCCCAACCCTAGACTGGGGAGGACTTGACACTTTTGTATCTAAATTACAATTTTATTTGAGATTAGCCATTCTGCTTTAACAACTGCTTAGCAATTCCCTATCAATTGTCTAGTCTCGCATAGCCAGACCTTCACGGTCGAAGATGCCGTCTGACTGACATGTAAAGCCACAAATCACAGTTTGTTTTGTTCAAGTTGATGTCCCTACCATAACAGACTGGTGTGTAAAATTTCTGGACTTCTTTTACAGAGTCACATATGAAAATCCAATGTTTAGTTCTATCAGTTGCCTTGCAGCCACTTAGAACCTTAGCTTAACCTTAGCTACCGTTAGCAATTATCCAGAACATATTACGTCTAGCCAGGGCCGTCGCTAGTGGGGTGAAAGGTGGTGACAATTATAGGGGCCCCCGCTGCCCAGGGGGCCCCACAAAATCCAGCAGTTATACTATTTAGGCCCCTGTTGTATGAATAATTCTAATATTTATATTAGTTGTATGCCTGAGATTTAAATGAAAACCACAAAAACGTGCAATTTGGGTAAATATTTTTCCAAATATCTGCTTCTCTTACCTCCATAAAAATGGTTTAGTCCGACCTAAAGTATTTATTAATTATTCAGTCCCAGTCAGTGACAAACATCAGACCCAATAAAATTGTAAGTCCCACCCCAGCTCGTGAACAGAATCAGAGTTGAGGCGGCAGCCTGAAGTTAACGATGAACTTGGTGAAGAGCAGGAGACTGACTTACTGAAAAATGTCGGGGAAAAGAAAACATAAATCAGGTACCAGAAATGCCAGGAAAAGACGGAGAGGGAGGCAAGGAGAGTGGTTGTATCCCAGTCGATCAAGACGTTCTTAAAGACCGGTTATTGTTATTTCGCTGGGAATTAGAAAACTTCCGTCTACAGTCTGCCGTGTACAGTCATTTTTTATTATCGGTGCGCGCCGCAATCGACCGAATGATTACGTGGTCTAAATTCCTGTCTTTTTACACTAATGTAACTAGAGTTTTAAAGAAATTACACGAGTCACGACGCATTGCATTATGCATCTGACCTGCCGGCTGATGATATTTAAAACATCGAGAAAACACGAATACAACACACTGCACTTGGATGAATAAATGTATTCGCTTTATTTAATAATATTACCAGTTCCATATTCTCTTTATTAAAAAAATAAGGCAATAAATGGTTTTATTTTTTTAATTAGACTGCATTCTTGTCAATTTCTAAATGTTTACTTTTTGATTTATGAATTATAACAGACTGATGGGGGGAAAAAATATTACTTTTTGGTTTTTATTATTATTGAACAATTTCTTGCTTTTTGTTAGTTTTTATTAGTTGTAATTTTTATATAAACATTTAACTTTTAAAATAAAGGTTTTACAACAACATCACCATCTTCTGTTATATGTGGGCCTCCATGTTCATCTATTGTACAGTATATGATATTGGTGGAGGGTGGTGGGGGCCCACATCAATATTTTTTCAGGGGGCCCCGAATCCTCTAGCTACGGCCCTGCGTCTAGCAACCAAACATCTTAACAACTGTAAACCAACCACTTAGCAATGCCCTAGAAACCAGAACACTTCAGCAACCATCAAAGACATGCTTAGCAACAACTGAGAACACCTTGGCAAGTATTTAAAATACAGTACATGGCCTACATAGTTCTCATTTTGTTTAAGCCATCTAACCTTCTAACCTCGTTTCAACCTGCCCAAGTATGCAAACTACATAAGTCAAGTCAAGTCAAGTCACATTTATTTATATAGCGCTTTTCACAATACAGATTGCATCAAAGCAGCTTCACAGTGATAACATGAAAGTAGTACAACACAGTTCAATAATATTGTTGAATATTAAATATCCCCAACTAAGCAAGCCAAAAGCAAGGCGACAGTGGCAAGGAACCAAAACTCCATCAGATTGGATGGAGAAAAAAACCTTGGGAGAACCCAGGCTAGTCAGGGGCCAGTTCTCCTCTTGCTTAAATAAGTCTTAAACTTTCAGACTGCGAATTTCATACAAATTTACAATCAACATTTGTCTTTGCAATCTTTCTTTTTTAAGTTTAATCACAATAGACTGTCCTGATTTTTTATACGATTTGCTCCCTTTTATGAACTGTCCCATCCCATCTGAGGAACATCCCCCGAATACCCCCCCACCCCACCCCACCCAGCCGCCCCCAGTCTCTTACCCAGTGGAAGCAGTGCAGAGCATCAGGGCTGTAGAGGCTGTTCTGGAGAGGGATGATTTGGACGGTATAAGAGTCATCACATGCCATATGTATAAACGGCGTCAAGATATGAACACAAAATGAATATTCGGGAGAGAGAGAAACAAGAAACTGAGAAATACGAAGCCTTGTGAGATTGAACGAGAGAGGGAGGGGCAGAGGGAGGAACAGATGAAGAAATGCAAATAGATATTCAGGAAAATTTCTATCAAAGCTAATGATGAACAGCATGTGCGGTTGTCCTGGGTGCATTACTCACACTGCAAAACCAAACCAATAAACATCTAATTGCACCTACAGATGATAACAGAGACCAGATTTTGGAATTGTAAGTTATTTTTTCGCTCAGCAAATAACAGTCAATAACAAAACCTGAGCAGTCAGTTGAACAGTCCTTCCATCATTTTGCATTCCTGTTCCAACATGTTAGGGAATGTGACTGAACCTGGTCTGAAATAATAACAGGCGTGTTAACACAACTATTTGAAAATAAACCAATACAATTTCAGATGTAATACCAAGGGTGTTGGACCACATTTATGAAGAAGCTAAATTTATAAAGAAATGCAACTGTTCATTTACAACTTAAATTTTACATTGGTTGCAGAAGACTTGAAATAGAAAAACATGACACAAGTTAATTATTTAAGTGTATGGTTTTATTATAAAGTATTACTCCTCATAATACTTTAAATGTCAATACAAAATAGACCATCTCTATAAATTATTAGGTGTCTTTAAAGGTACCATATGTAAGAATTCTGTATCAATATATGTCTATATGTCCCAAAACCACTTGCACAGTGTTATATATTTCTTTCAATTATGTACTTACATTATCCTAAATGTTTCCAAGAATTCGTAAATTCAGAGAAATTAACAATTTTAAATAGTGCCCATCCCTTGTCACTTGTCGCCTGTCAATGACGTAATATCCGCGTTATCCCTAGTTTCCGCTTGTACTGCCATAGTAACCATGGCGACAGATGTGGACAACTGCGTATTATTTAGCGGCATGCTGTTGTTGTTTGGTTCAAACATTATGGACCATGGCAAGCAGACTTTGGGACTAAACGAGAAATAAAATGAGGATCAATATCGGCGTGGCTTTTTCGAGATTGGCGAACTTCGACTTGTAAGAACTGATTTTCCTGCTGAAGAGAAAAGCTGAGATAAAACTCACCATAAAGCAATAAAACGCACCCTGGACAGAAGAACGCAAAGACAGAGCACAGGACATTGTCATGTCCAAACATGTTTCCCTTATCTCTTCATTCCCCTCTCCCTCGTCCCCTCTCCCCCTGGGTCAAGTCACCAAAAGTTCACTAAGAATGCCTATATATTATATATGATGTATCATGTAATCTATTGTTTTTACTTTTCATGTTTGGTATCATTTTAAGTGTCTCAGTGCGATTGGTAAAATGGTCTTAATTTCATTGCAGTCATTGGTAATTGGAGAAAGATTAAGAACTTATAGGAGAATCCTGTTCTCCTCCATGGGTGATGTCCCCCCGAGACCAGGTGCTACCCCCTGGGGTACAGGAATTGACCCAAAACAAACTCTGAAAAATATTGCTACAACCCTTTTGTTCTGGTCTGGGTATTTAAGGCTAGGTAACCTTTTGTTACCCTGACACAGAGCAGTCTTTGGGAACCTGTAACCAGGAAAATTGTCGTCATACGGAGGAAAGGTAACCTCCCCTTTCTCTGCTTTGCCCGCCCAGAGAATTTAGCTCGCCCATGAGAAAATGAGCTAGGAAGTACGAAAGCGCGAGCGCGATTTGAGTTTTTCCTCGAGAGATATCATGGCTTGCAAACGAGCGAAGCATGGCAGTTGATCAGTGTTCGGCTGTACAAATGAACACAAAAGTATTATTTAATTCCTTCATCCGAGCCTCTGAAGAAACAATGGGTTAATTTTATTTTCTCTGGAAATGCGCCGACACAACTTCCCAAAGTTTTGTATGGTCCAAACATTTCACAGACGACTGTTTCCTCAACTTGGGCCAATACAGAGATGGCCTCAATGAACGTCTGAAAATAAATCGATCGAGCTACCAAGCAACAATTTCTGATGTGTAGCCTAATTGTTCAAGTTCAGACAGGTAATCTTTCTCTCAAAATCATTCAATACTGTTTGTAAGAGCCATTTTGTCTTTATTTAAACCTTGTTATGCAAGTGTGTGTCCAGTAGGGGTCTCTCGTGGTTACTGAATATAGGTAGGAACCTTTCTTCAGGTGACGGGTGTTGCTGGAGGGAAGGTGCACACAGTTTTTTGATCGTAACGCTATGTATCATTTGTAACTGAAATGATCAAAAAAGGATATGCAGAGCAAGTGCCCACTCATCAGCTTAAAGGTGAGAGCGGGAAGGTGTGGTACATTCCTCACCATGGTGTATGTCATCCCAAGAAGAGGAACTTGCGGGGTGGTTTTTGATTGTGGTGCCGCATTTAATGGAACATCTTTGAATCAAGTCCTTTTACAAGGTCCCAATTTCACAAGCACATTGATTGGAGTCCTCTTGAGGTTTAGGCAGGAGTCTGTAGCGGTCATGGGTGACATACAATCAATGTTTCATCAAGTTCGGGTGGCAGAAGAGGACCGGGACTTCATCCGTTTTTTGTGGTGGCAGAACGGAGATTTTACAAAAGAAGTGACAGTGTTTCATATGAATGTCCATCTCTTTGGAGCTGTCTCCTCTCCTAGTTGTGCTCCCTTTGCTTTAAGAAAAACAGCAGATGATCATCAATCTGAGTTCCGAGAAGAGGTTGTTCAAACTCTCAAAGAAAACTTCTATGTAGATGATTGCCTTAAGAGTGTGGCATCTGAAGATAAAGCAGTTTGTTTAGTTAAGGATCTTTCCATTCTTTGTCAGCGAGGGGGTTTCACTCTGACAAAATGGAGTAGCAACAAGCACACTGTCCTGCAAACCATTCCCGAGGAGCACCGAGCCAAAGAGTGGAAGGTGCTTGATCTGGACAGGGACAGCCTGCCAGTTGAGAGAGCACTTGGATTGCTTTGGTGTGTGGAAACTGATTCATTTAAGTTCAAAATGGAGGTCCAGGAGAAGTCCTGCACAAGACGTGGGATGTTGTCGGTTTCCAGCTCCGTATACGATCCACTTGGGTTTTTGGCACCAGTTGTGCTACCTGCTAAGATCATGCTACAGGAGTTATGTCGGAGGAATTGCGGATGGGATGAGACTGTGCCCTACGACATTTTGCGTGACTGGACAAGGTGGTTGAAGGAGCTGAATGCACTGTCTGAATTCAAAGTTGAGAGGTGTGTTAAGCCCATAAGCTGTGGGTCTTGCATGCATGCTCAGCTTCATCATTTTTCAGACGCAAGCGAACAAGGGTATGGCACAGTCACTTACCTTAGAATCCAGAATAGCAACGATGACATTCATATTGCTTTCCTCATGGGCAAGGCCAGAGTAACACCTTTAAAGGCCATCACTGTTCCCCATTTGGAGTTAACTGCTGCTGTGCTTGCTGTTCATGTTGACCTGATGTTAAAGAAAGAGCTGAGGCTCCAGTTGCAAGAATCTGTCTTTTGGACAGACAGCACATCTCTGCTCAAGTATGTCATGAATGAGGACAAGCGTTTTCATACTTTTGTTGCCAACAGAGTCTCCATTATCAGGGAAGGCACAAAGACATCACAGTGGCGATATGTTGGCTCAAAGGAGAATCCAGCTGATGATTTTTTATTTTTTTATTTTATTTATTTAATATGGACATAGCAATAACATTGGACGAACCAGATGAATTGTTTAAAGTGTTATAGCACATGTGCTAATTTTCAACACCTGTCCATAGGGGCTTTTACAACAGATAAAAACACATTAAGCAAAACAAGGCACATTAACTAACTGAGGCTCTGGTGGAAGGTCTAAAAGAGCCCTGACGCCTCTCCATGAGGCCAGAGAACAGCGGTGACACACAGTTGTTCAAACATTTAAAAGTCAATTTCAAAATACAAAAATTTACAAAATTTTCAAAAGTAAAAAGCTTGTGCTTTTGTATGATATCACAATGATGCCATATCATAGGTTTCTTGTCAAATATCTTAATTGCCTGTTTATGTAGAGAAGTGACTGATTTCAGAGTGGACGCTTATGTTTGTGACTGCTGTAATACAGTATGACAAATGTGAAAAAACCTTTGCATGCATAAACAATAAAGCCGCGTGATGTGACTACTCTCCTCTAATAAAACGAAAACAGTTTAGATTTGATTTGACTTTCCTACAAACATAGTTTACTTGACTTTGAAACTTCAGATGTTTATCTATTATAATGCCCAAATATTTCGTTTCATGAACCTCTTGAATAGGTTCATGGTCTAAATAAACTTCAAAGATGCTGTCAGGGGACCTCCGGTTGATAGAAAAACACATTGAGAAGGTTTTCTGAACATTTAAAGTTAAATGGGACAGCTGAAGCCATCTTGAGATGTTACGTAAAGCCTTTGTTAACTGCTGCCCAGCCAGCGCAGTTGTTTTTGCTGACACATGGATAACTGTGTCGTCAGCATAAAGCTGGCAGTTTACACCCTGGCAGCAATCTGGGAGATCGTTTATATACATTGAAAACAACAACGGTCCTAGTACTGACCCTTGGGGCACTCCTAGGTCATTTAGACTCAGATTGGATTTTACAGTTCCTACTTTCACACATTGTTCTCTACCCTCCAGGTAGGACTTGAACCATAACAGAGCTGCATTTGAAAATTGAAATTGCTGTAATTTCTGCAATAAGATACAATGGTCCACTGTGTCGAAGGCCTTCTTCAGATCTAAAAACACAGCGCCTACGATATTCCCTTTGTCCAGTGCACCTTTAATCTGTTCCACCAAGAAGCAGTTGGCGGTTTCTGTGCTGTGTTTTTGTCTGAACCCAAACTGCTGGGGATGCAACAATTGGTTATTTTCAAGATGTTATATTAATTGCTCCACCACAATTTTTTCCAGCACTTTGGAAACGACAGGGAGAATAGAAATAGGCCTGTATTTGCAGGCTTGGTCTTTATTGCCTGACTTATAAATTGGAGTGATTACAGCAGTCTTCCAGCTCTGTGGGAAAGTGTT